TGACTGGAAAATGCTTTTTATTTTCGGAACCCATTTACAAACTACAACTCGAGTCTTTATTACACGTCGGATAATGGTAAAACAAACTCCGCACATATGTCAATAACATTGCCTTGAAATTATATACAGGACATAAATATAATAGGTGATCCATATTTCTCTTTGGTTCTTTCGGTAAAGTCACAGTAGGTAGAAAAAATAAATAAAACAAAAACTAAGTGATATATTAGTGATATATTATTTTATTATTTTATTTTTTTACCTACGTGACTTTACCGAAAGAACCAGAGCCGGCCCAGCCACTAAGCGACCCTTGCAATTGCAAAGGGCCCCGTGGCCAGCAGAGGGCCCCCTAGAGTCACTGCTAGCGAGTGGGTGAACAAAACCATACATCAAAGGGGCCTCCAACCAAATTTTGCTTAGGGCCCCCAAAGGTCTAGGGCCGGTTCTGGAAAGAACCAAAGAGTATGGATTCCTGCAGTCACGAAAGCTTCAAATCAAGATAATAGGTGATGCGTTGGGAAATGGCCTTCCTTCACAGCACGTGGTCTGCTTGGTTCGCTTCCCAGGCACCGCGTAATCACCATTTACCACAATGAGCACCGCTCTCAATGCAAGTAGTCAAATGTCACGGTGTATTTAACGATACTGATGACAATTGGCGCCGGGAAATCGAATTCACTTTCAACGATAATTTTAAAAGAAGACAGTTTATCTGCGCATAACCTCTGTGCTCTCGACGCGGATTGATCTTAGAGTTGTTTTGCCTTACTGCATCCTTCATTCTGTTAAGACGGAAGTCGAAAATCACTCTTTCTGGGACGGAGAGAGGAAAATGCCCTTCCGATTGTCACAGACGCAGCTGATTAAACTTACCTATGTAGCCTCTTGTTACAGCAGCTCTTTTGCCCACTTCAGCATTTGTTTCTTGCTGTGGTTGTCCCAACTGATGACGGGCGCTTGTGTTGCGCCCGAAACGTCGTGATTTATTATTTTATTTCTATTATTTATTTTTCCCTACGTGACTTTACCAAAAAGACCTAAGAGTATTATTCTGGGAGCTTGACAATAATAGCTCTCTTGTATGTATGTTGAACTTCCTTCGCACCGTATGTAGTCAATCGTGCAAATAGAAGTTTCGGGGGAAAGACAACAATTAAACACAAAAAGCAGTTCTGAAGAAATTAGTTTCCAATCTAGATCTTGGGCAGTGGTGGCTATGTACGTCTGCAGTCCAGCACTGTGGAGGTGAGGGTTGGTAGATCGTGCAAATGTTGCTAAACTCTCTTCCCCTGGGCATGGGAACACCATACCATGGCTTGTCAGTATGCGGTACAGAAAATGTGGACTCCATCTGTTCCATCTGTACGGGATATAATGTTTCCTCCTCGAACTTTTCTCCGGGTGCTTTATTTTCATCCCTCATGTACACATTGACTGGCCGATAACAACTTGATTTTACAGGACGACAGAGTTTGGTCGGGAAATTTGCACTGACTCACCACCTGACTGGCTTTCTTGTCCATGGTTCATCGCGCACTTTGTGAGTCGTTCTCTCGTTAAAGTGAGCGAATACTGCGCGGCGCCTTACAAGCTGAAATGATCACATTTTGGTACCTTTAGTGTTTCAAGAATACACGTTTAATTGCATGCTATTTTCTTCTGCAAACACCACTTGCAAGATCAGACTCAGAATCTGTATTTAGACTGGAGAAATCCGACGAGCTATAAAGCTCTTTATAAACACAAATGTCCAGGATGAAGGCTTCGGCCACACTGTCTGAATCGCGTGGGACGATTGACCACAAGGGGGGAGCCCAGGACTGGTTTAGATATCAATCGCCACTGACGTTAGCCGTGACTGGGAATTAAACTCATGTCTCTGGGCTCATAATATAGCAGCGGATACAACACAACTATCCACAAAATGATTGTAAACTGTTTTAAACGACTGTACTTTACATTTTAGTCAACTCTGCAATTGTCTGCTACAGCACTACCATCTACACAACGGTTGGCTTGTTTCGGATGTTTACGACTGACATCTAAATGTTAATTACTGCGATGGCTATGCCACCTCGTGGAAATAAGAGGTCAGTATCTAGAAGCTACGCTGAATTATCTTCTGGGACTGTTCTTCTTCTGTTGTTCCTCAATCATCCGTTGTGATGATTGTATCGTCAGTAAATTTGAGATGGTTAACAATTTCTCAATTTAGGTTGACCGTTTTTTTTATTTTTAACCAATTCTATTTTTGGAAAAGATCTTCCAATGTCACAGCTTTGGTGAGATCTCGATTCCTCGTTTGTCACTTACTGCAATGCGGTTTCATTGTGAATATAAAGATGTCTCTATACGGTTTACAATATATAATCATGGAGCTTACTGTATGGTATTAAAACATTTTTGTTAGCTCTTCGTCCAGTTACTGCTGCTGGATAACAGCCTCCCATGCTGTGTGGCTCGTAGGGGTTGTTTGATCACTTCGATCAGCGGGGTCAAGATCGCCCTCTGCGGAGGAGGCTCGCGAAAGTCTCTCCTGGACAGTTGGAGGCTGCCACCTACAGCGGAGAGTGGAGGAGCGACGCTCACAACAACGAGCAGAGCGCCAGGCAGCTAAAAGACCATTTAGCACAGGTGGTGCATCTGTTGGTCGTTTTAGTCGTCAACTCATGGTACCTGGGTTCGTCCCGAGACCTGCAAGCGAGCCTTTGATACTTCACGAGGCCTCAGGGTGCACCTAGTCTGGCACAAGCGCCGTGGTGACGTTACCGCCAGTCCAATGCAAGTTGGTGAAAAATGGGAACCCCGGGACTGGTTTAAGATGTCTCGCCATCGATAAGGACCATAGCAGGCGATCAAATGCCAGGTCGTTGGATTCGTCGTAACGCAATGCACAAACCGTTCCACCATTACTCCACTCCCACCACAAAACTGCAATATAATCACAAAACTCCTGCCACTTGTCACATTAGGTTTTTTCGGTAAAGTCACGTAGGTAAAAAATATATAATAAATTAATAAAATTTCATGAAAATAACTCAATTAAATCACGACGTTTCTTAAATAAGATCTTGTCTCTTGGATTTCTCTTCACTTGATACAGTAAATTTAGCTGTGACGGTCCCACCTGAAAACGGAGACTTTTGTTGCCTCCAAAATGTCGTGATTTAAATTAGTTGCTTTCATTTAATATTATTTTTTTACCTACGTGACTTTACCGAAAAAACCTAAGAGTATGATCCTTGCAGTCACGAAAGCTTCAAATCTAGAACTTGTAACATTTCATAAATAAGGGGCATTTATATATATAATAATTGGTTAAAGTCTTATGTTGAAAACTTTGTGGAGGCTTTTGTGCACAATTGTATTGCATGTTTAACTCAGGATTTGCCAATACGATTCAAGTCTTATCTATTTAAAAGGCTGGAACATCCACTGCCCAGCGTAGGTGCCGTGGGGTTTATATCCTTTAGACAGTAATAGTTGAGTATTTTTGGATTCGGCCAGAAATGTAAATATCACCAGAAGAGCCACGTTTATACTTTTAGATAGGCGACAATTTATATCGTGAAACTCTCAAATGCCAAGTCCATCTAAAACGGTAAGTACGCTGTATGTGCATGAACAGAAATATACTTCATCTAATGTGCAGAGAACCATAGACTTGTACCTACACAAGCCCGCACGGTTTGTTGACGTGTGCTGCCCTGCCCCCTAGCCGCCACGTGCCTACATTTCTCCCAAAAGCAATTTGTTGCACAGGCCTAAGTTAAAACTAGGACCGTTCAACGATTAACAGTTCCGAAAATTAAGATTATGTTAATCGTTTCTAGAGGAAGTTTAGTAATGAAAGCACGGATTCCACACGCTAACGTACAAACGGCACAGCGATCCGAGTTGTATATTTGGAGTTGGCAATATCTCTCCCCGTGTTCGCGTGGACTTTTCTCCAGGTCCTCCCGGTTTTTCCCCTCCACATTTAGAATCAACACGCGTTCAAGAGTAATTGGCTGATATAAATGGCCACATAACAGCCACTTCGTTGAGTTATGGTTTGCGATAGCAAGGTCGTTGCTGAAAAGAGCTACAAAGTTCTGTGGGACTTACGTGGTAACATAAATAGGTTACATCTGCCCTCCGTTTCTCATTTTAAAAGGTAAAGGTGCAACTCTGCAATTGCTTGCTCATGCCACTGCTGGTGGAAGTGCCTCCACGAAAGGAAGCTTCATAATCTCATCTCTTTCATGCGGACCAGACATCTTGAGAGGTTGGCACGCCCACACATTACCCGACACACACTCCGATGATCCTCCTGCAAGCGACTGCTCGGGCAGGCAGTCACCGACTTGGCTAATAATAATACCAATGTCCACAATGGACGAATGAACACGGAAAGTCGCATCCTATGGAAGTCTTTGGAACAGCTGCTTAAAATACTTCTCTAAATAGCAGCGATGTTCAATAGCCTGCCGCTCAATGCAACTTACTCACGCTCTGCAAAGAAACTTCATGCTACAAGATATTGCACAATGCCTCGACCAATTTCCAAACCCCAATTAATGCAACGTTAGATCGATCAAAAGGTTTCATTTTACAGCACATTTGCAATGTAAAAGTGTGCATGGTCTTTTAAAGAAAACATTAATCCTGCAATCTTATACCACATTGCCTTGGACCAATATTCGTATAAATTGTAATTGTAGTCCTAAGACATAAAACTGGAGATAAAATTAAGTTTTTAGATCAATTTTGTTAACTTGTAATTTACCAGAAACACGTCTTTTATCCAAGTTTAATTATATTGCAGACATTAGCCGACTTGGCCTGGAATCCTACAATTGAAAAAATAATGCTCAACATCGTTATTGTGCGAAAGTCAAAACACAGTCTATAAATAAAAGTACAACTTTTGAGTTCTATTTCATCCACCACTTTAGAAAATGACAACTGTACAACCAAAACTTAATCATCCAAGATTGCGGTGACTTTGTGAAAAATTACTTAAGCAAATATGCACTTTAATGTGGTTTTAAAAGATTCAAATTAACACGTGGCAATTACAAACAGACCTCGACTTTACACAAAATGTACAATATCACAGAAGAAATTTCAGACAAAACTGTACACACATTTACGGATGTACTGACATAAGTTTTAAAATATAAAAGCAACATTCTATACTGATCTTTCCAGGAGTACAGTATGCAATTTCGAGCCATGCCGTGAAACCGAAATTAAAACAAGGTAAATTTAAATTTCAGTGCGTAAAATGCTCCGTTAAAAACCCTCAACAGCTGTACGCGACTGAACATTGTCATTTTATTTTCCAATCAATTTTTTTAATGCGCAAATAACCGGTGCAGTTCTGCATTGCGTGAAATATATTTTGTGGATGTGGTACTTGTAATATTGATTGAGAGCATCAATGTTAAGAGAAATGTCAGTGGTTTTGGAAAATATGTAATGTATTATTTCACTGAACAGAGTACTCTTCCCCTTCCACTTGCTATAACGACGAGTCGATGATTAATAAACCAGTACTCCAGTTGACAATAGTTCAATGTCAAGCTATACATGTACATCACAACAGCAAAATTAGTGATATTTGATCAATACATCTCTAGAAGGGATATTTGTACCACATCCAACACAAAATATGCACCCTTGTTCATTAGTCAAATATTAACATGTAAACATGAGCAAATAATTTAAACAAATGAAGGCATGGCATTAAATCCATATTGTCATTTTACAACCTACTTCATAAAAACCAATTATTTAATGATTGGAAAGCCTACAATTTAATTTTAAGGGAGTTTATGGATTTACATTTTACAGCTCATTACAATTCCGTTCAACATTAATTATAATCAGCGATATCATTAAAAATTAAAAGTCGGAAGAAAAATTACAAAACCGACATGTACTTTTGGTCAGAGATTACATAAAACTTAATTCTTGTTGCCACACCACTGTTAAATACCTTCTCAGAAAAGTCTTTTTTTACGCAATTTAATTTCATTGTTTAATTATTCCGTTCGGTGCAGTATTTATCTTGATTACCTGATTATTTTACGAATAGGGAACATATAAATAGGTTTTCAGATGCATGCATTTGGTTTCATAAATTTCAATGAGGTGTTTCAAAACTAATAAAAAGGTCTTCAAATATAGGGGCTACAACTGACTGGTGTCTTTCAAATGCTTTTTTTTTTATATTTGAACAACACAGTATTGTTTGAACATGCCCTTACATCATAATCGTAATTATAATCCAAGACCATCCTCTGGTCCTCGCGGCACACTTTCTGACCGCGATACAGACAATGAAGGAACAATGGTGGTACACGCAAGAGATGTTTTGTCTTCAGTGGTAAAGAGAGCAAAAAAACGAAGTTCCATACTGTATAAAGATGTTCACATACACACACCAAACAAAGCTGGAAGGTGCATGCTAGAGTCTTTTAAGCGCTCTCTTTTTGTCCGTTTTCTTCTTGGCAGCAAGTTTTTTGTCCTTGTCGGCAGCATGCTTCTTGGCAGAGGGACCATCGGCAGCGGGGCCCGCATTTGTGGGTGCGGCATTGGCTGGCAGGGCATGGATCTCGGTCAGCAGCTTGGCATGGGCGGCGTAGTCCTCATAGGCCTCCAGTAACAGGCGGCCAGCCTCTTCATTCAGCGCAGACTCGGGGTTTGGATGAATCAGCAGGCACTTCACCGTCTTCATTCAAAGAAAAAAGGATCAATTACCAACAGTTTGAAGATGCATTGGAAAACCTTCCATTAACAAGGTACTGACAACATTCAGTGAGTGACAAATACAATAAACTAAATCCATCATTATTCTATACCAGTGGCATGATATGAGTGCATTTTATTTTTTCATAAGCTTTACATTGTCAATAACATATCATAAAAGGTGAAAATAAGCACCACATCATTGTTCATTTTCTATCCACTGCCAGAGGAGGATTCCACAGGTTGTCACATCCTTCAAGGTCCGAGGATACTACAATGCATCTTCCTCCCTGGGTGCGACCTGATCTCATCACTCCATCTTCAGTGGTCATCCTCCATCCTCTAGGTTGTGGCTGCCATTGTCACCAGTCTCGGCCACATGCCATCATCCCTTATAGCCATGTGCCCACCCAAGCCCACTTTTCTAAAATGAAACGTGATATCTCCGATTTACATTCTGGTCCATGTGTTCTCCTGCATGCATTTCTCTAATCTTCTTTGCATAATTTTTAGCTTTTTCTAAATTATTTGCCATGGCAGTTAATATGTACTGAATGAACGCTGTACTCTTTTAGTAAAATATGTACGTTGCTGCTGCTCACTTGCCTCTTCAGTTCATCACTTTGATCACACACATGCCAAATTATTAGTTATGTTGCAATGTAACTCACCAACAGGACATGGCGGATGCCCAGCTCAGCCTTCCAGTCCTTCTTGAGCACATTGACGCAGATCTCCCCACTGCTGCTCACGTTGGGGTGGAAAATCTTGGTGAGAAAGTAAGCTTTAGGTGGCGATGCCGGGAAGTCCTTACCCAGCACCAGCTTCATGCGGAAGATGCCACCTGCATACGGAGTGCCCTCTGAGAGTAGAGTAGCACATTTCATCAATGGGGGAAAAAAATCCAGAATATTAACCTAACAAACCTTAATTTTTATAAATTATCATCAAAACGATTATAGTAATGATTAGTGATTTTTTTTAAATACAATTTAACCTAATATACATACCGAATATTTAAATCGTCATGATGCTTTTTTGCCATAATAGAAATTAAACATTCAAAGTGCGTTCAAAATTCAACTAAAAAACAGGTTGAAATTGATACATGTCATTTACACCTAATATTTACAGTACCTATTCAGAAAAAAATACTTTAAAAGCCTGGCAAGCCAAACAAAGGGATGAGCCCTAGTCTGGATAGCTGAACATTGTCTCACTGCAATTTGCACTGAACGTCAATGTAACAAACCAAAAATCTGCAAATCATTTAATTTCCAGCACAACAAAGTATTCTTTTAAACCAATGAATTCCCAAAGAATCCAGACGTAAAATGTTCACAATGATGAAAACGGATCATGAAAATCACCATCTCTCATTTTCAGAAAGTATAATTATGCGTTGTTAACAGAACTGTGAGCATGTATGGGAACCAAGCAAAGTTTGTTCCAGTTAATTGACTCATGTGTGAAGAAGTCTACTTATTCAATTAATATCGGTTTGAAAATAAGATGGGAAAAAAAGGATGATTTCTTTTATGATTGCATTAATTAATAGCCTTCATCACTGCCACTTAGGATGCTGTGAACACAAAAAAACTGCTCAATCATAGACAGCTCAAAATGAACCCTGCAAAACTAAAGGACTAGAGTAGTGGACTGATATTTGCCGGTTGAAACACAGAAATTATTGTTTTGGAAATTGGAAAGCTACTCAACTTTTATAAAAAATTATGTTGAGTGTTCTATTTAGATGGAATCAATTGCTTGTCAAAATAGTCACAGCAGTGGGTATTTCATATGCATCCTGTCTGATGAAGAGGAAGTCTATACCTGGACCCTCTATTGTAGCCTGCACATCTGTGATGTCATCCTCATTCAGGTAGACTTTGATGCCCTCTGGAGGCTCTCGTGCCAGCTCCGTCACCTCCTTCCACACTTGCCGAATAACGTGTGGAGGCAGATTTTCCACATTGGACACCTGGAAACAAGCGAAATACACAGCAGTATGTTTTGTGTTTTACTTTTGTTGAGGTGCATTGCTTGTTTTGTAATTTTTTAAGGATTTTACTGTTATTGTTGGTGAATGGTTTACGCAATGGAGCATCCGAGATCCTGAGCTATATCATCAATATAATACAATGCAATTAATCTGTGGAACTACCAACATATGGCAATAAAATGTATCTAACAAAAGCTAAAAACAACGTATGACTGTATATGAAAAGAATGCAGGTCTATACAATTAAATAACCTATTGGTGCAATTGGGAAATTAAGCTGGCACAAAATTAAGCTCACGCATAACATTGCCCAAGGCCAAGTGACACCACATCACCCAATCAATCATGATTTGTATTTGCTGTAGCAACCTTTACACTGGAGCGCCACGTCGTTCTTTACATCACATCTCAAATATTTCGAAGGCCAGCCCCAGTGGCTGCTATCCCTGTCGGCACAAGGTGACTTGGCACCTGGCCTGCATATGGGCATTAGTCTGCCGATAGTGGTGACGATAGCTACGTGGAATCCCAATTGAGGAATTTGCAGGTCATTTTACAATTTGAGTGTTGCTTGTTAACCTTTTTTAATTCTGGTATTCTAGTTAGAGCATGATGCATGTAATATTCAGTTTTATTTCATGAGTTGTATTCTTCATTAGTTATTGCTTCCACTTAGAAATCCTGTATTTTAGATTGACAGCTACCGCAATCTCATACGCAAGTCAATCCGATATTACTTGGGCACATACGCTGTGCTTTGATAGTCTATCTCATATTTGTACCTTGTGTGACTTTTAACTCAGGAAATCATCTCAGCCTGGTCACACCAATGATGCAGAGAAAACGCCATCATGTTAAATTTGGTTCTGCACAAAGTTTGGATGCATTTCAGCTCGAAAAAAACAGCATCAGATATGTTAACTCCCTTGCCTGATATGCAGGAGGTTGTGGATTCAAAGCCAACCCTCATGTCGGTATATTTGTTGTTTGCATGTTCTCCCCATGGTCACGTGGATATTTTCTTTGGATTCCCCGGTTTTTCCCTTCACATTTAGAAACAAGTGTTTTAGACTATTTGGCTGCTATAAATGTCCACATGAGCCACTTCGCTGAGTTTTCAGTCGTGACCAGGTCGCTTCTGAAAAAGAGCTATATAACTCAATAGGCCTTACCTGGTAAAATAAAAAAAGTGTTGTTTTAGTTTATATATTGGTGTTACTGCCATAGAAACGAGCGGCCAATAAAATGCTGCCCCCTGCTGTATGCACCAGAGGTTACAGGTGACCTCCGACTTATGACGGCTCGATTTGCGATCCCCCGCTTTTATGACCTTTCTTGTAGTAAGACCCCCACAAAACTCTTATCTACGACCACCTAACGACTGCTCCCGACGCCGAGTCATGCACAGATTCGTCGCTTGATGGCGCTGCTTTGCTCTTCTGCCGTATGCATATGTACAGTAGAGTATGCAGCTGCGCCTAGAGCGAACGCATCTCTTTCACAACGGTATTAACTTTTTTTTTGTCAAATTTCTTCAAATTTTCTAAATATTTTCACCTTTCACTATGACTAAGAGGAAATGTGATGCATATACAGAAAAGACTTACACATTTTCAAATGTGTTTGTTTTTATCGAGTAAATATTTATAAAAATTAAGTTACAATAAATGTTTGTTAGGGTTTTCATTTATTTTCGTTGTACATTTTTGTATTGCTATGGTATGTACAGTAATGGGTTTCCAGGAACGGAACCCCCCTGTGTAACATTGCGCCTACTGGAAATGAGGGCTCGACTTACGACCGTCGTCCAAGAACCTATGAGGTCGTAGGTGCGGGAGGGGTCACCTGTACTTCCAAGGGATCTTGGAGATAGCTCTGTGGTATCATCCACTTCCGTTAGCTTTTCAACATAGTATCATGACTTGTAATTTCAATAAAAGGGGAGAGGGGGGGTAAACTGCTCTAAAATGAAATAAAAAATATTATATGAGCTAGTCTTGCAGTTAAGTAGGTCTGAAAGACAACTCTTGCTATGCTCTTTGGTTCTTTCGGTAAAGTCACGTAGATATAAAATAAATTAAATCACCTTTTTGGCGCAACACAAGCGTCCGTCATCAGGTGGGACAACCACTTACGACCGTTGTCCCACCTGATGACGGACGCTTGTGCTGCGCCCGAAACGTCGTGATTTAATTTATTTTCTACCTACGTGACTTTACCGAAAGAACCAAAGAGTATGGATCCCTGCAGCCACGAAAACTTCAAATCTAGATTAAACTCTTGCCATTGTTTTGTGGACGAAAGAAATGCTCCATAAGGCTTTGCTGAATGGCATAAACTCATTCAATGACCTCACACCTGTTTTAGCTGCACTAAAGTGGAACACTGCCAGGTTAGAATGACACTGCCAATGTAAATGACACCAAATTTAACGGCATCCACCAGACCTCTGCCTCATCAACATGTCAATTAAAAAAGGCTTAAACACGTTTTACTAGTTTAATGGCTGTGTATATGCTTAACTTTTTTTTGGTACGTTCACAAGACCAAACCGACGAAGTTATTTAACATGTCAAAAGCAGCTTAAGGTTCATCTTCTTGGTTCTTTCGGTAAAGTCACGTAGAAGGGAAGTAATAAAATAATAAAAATAAAACATAATCAAATAATTCTCACGACGTTTCGGTCAGAACGCAAGCAGCCGGCTGCTTGCGTTGTGGCCGAAACGTCTGCTTGCGTTGTGGCCGAAACAGTCGTGAGAATTATTGTATATGTTTTATTTGTATTATTTTATTACTTCCCTTCTACGTGACTTTACCGAAAGAACCAAGAAGATGAATCCATGCAGTCACGAAAGCTTTAAATCGAAAAAAAAATCAGCTTAAGGTTGTTGTTAAAGCTTAAGGGCTGTTGTGAACGACGGGAAAATGTGAATGAAAGGCAAAAGTTGTTGTCACCAACACTCCGCTGTCCGGATGTGGCAATAAATACAAACCGTTACCAGGCTGCATTTACACTGTTTAAAGACACATTCGTACCATGAAAGAGTTCAGCTTTTAAAAATTGTACGAAGGCAACAGCAGTATTGAGGATACTATCAAGCCTGATTACTTTTCTGAAGTCAATACGATATCTCTAACTTGTGTATGTTGTCTAACACATGTATTCTCCTGTTTGCGTCTCTGTAATTTCCAAACGTCCACCCTATCACGCTTATTTGCACTTTTCAGATGTTTTTTTGTCTTTGTCAAGGTCGATGACCGATCCATATCACAGTAGGTTTTATACACCGATGACAAACCTTTTCTATGGTCACATAGATGTGTTGCTTTTAATTTGTTAAGTACAGTATTGAGTATGTGCGTCTGTGTAATGTACTCCCGCGACACGGTGGCCAAACATATATTTGTGACTTTTTTTTTTTACAAATAATTTGCAAATAGGAGAGGTTTTCCGTATGAGTACTCCACTTACCCACGAGGAATTTCTGGGGCCTATATGCGAGTCGAATTTATTTACGCTGTCTTACACTTCCGAATATGAATAAGGGCATCTTAAATTTCCATCACATTATTATCAGGGAACTTTACACAAAACATTCTAGATTTGAAGCTTTCGTGACTGCAAGGATTCATATTCTTAGGTTTTTTCGGTAAAGTCACGTCGGTAAAACATAAAAATTAATAAAAGTAAAATAAAATAAAATCACGACGTTTCGGAGGCAACACAAGCCTCCGTTTTCAGGTGGAACCGTCACAGCCACGACAGCTGTATCAAGTAATATGGTAAGGTGAGGCTTAAAGTGTGCCTTACTTGGCCCTTCCCCTCTCCAACCATTATATATACGGAGTGGTAGCTCTTGTAATCTCTCATTTACTTGATACAGCTGTCGTGGCTATGACGGTTCCACCTGAAGACGGATGCTTGTGTTGCCTCCGTAACGTCGTAATTTTTATTTTTGTTTTACTTTTATAAATTTTAATGTTTTACCTACGTGACTTTACCGAAAAAACCTAAGAATATTTACACAAAACATCCTACCGCGCACTTAATTAGCATGCAATCAGTGTTCAGTCAGTGTTTCGTGGGTTATGTTTTCCCTTAATCTGTTTATATGATAGCCTTTCTCGCTTACCCCGAATTGCAGCGTACCCGAGCCGTCTTCATGAAGTTTTGTGATATCGACTAAAATAGCGAATTTAAAATACATTTTGATTACTTGCAGTGGAAGGAATGGGATTGGTTCAAATTGCTAAATTAATGTTCGTACGGTCATTTAAGTTAATGTTGACACCATGAGTAAACATTTCACGTGACTGTAAAAAAAAACAATTACATACAACCTACCATTATTTGAAATAAAGTACAATATTTATATTACTGTTATGAATAGGCAATGTTTCTCTGTTTAACCTTCATGTCAACGCTCATCAAAGTGACACAGTAATTGCCCAATGTGTGAATTCCATGTATTTATTATTACTGCACAGACTCTACTACTGGATGATTGTTTACGGGAAGAAAAAAATAACAGATTTCTGTCGTTGCTGCCTGCGAGCATGACCAAATGTTTTCAAAAGCAGTCTTTGAAAATAACATTTTCATATTAAGGTAATGTTTTTAGATTAAATTTTTGTAACTATATACATTGCCGTGCGATTTTGCCTTGTTTATTCTATTAATTCACTGTACTTACCTTTACTGTTTATGCTTATCATTGTTTTCTGCACCAAATTGTTGGACTGTACTCAATATTTGTGCAATTGACTTTGCACCTCGGCTTTATTTATATCTCCGACCTTTCTCTCAACAGACTGTTATTTGATGATACACCCCGTAGAAGCTTTACGAGTATAACGTTCAGGCCTTTGGCAATCCACTGCTTAATGAATCCCTCCACACGCGGTGGTCATATTTGACCACGCTGGTTCCTTCATTACGACCGTCAATGTTACAATTTACAACTATACCACTACATTCCCTACGCCACATACGTCTGCATTAAAATGTTATCATTTGGTTTATGAGCGCATGGATGGTTGAGTTACAATTTCCGTCGAGGGTCAAACTCGGGAAATCATCCCTCCGGGGTAGATAAAATTCGCACAATTATGTAGCAAGTCAACAGTGGTTGTCCTTAATGACTTAAGATGAACAAGCACACGGTCCTATCGGCCGTAAAGCACTGCTCTTCTTTACTTTAGCAAACACATTGCCATTTAAATGCGTATTGAACTTATTTCGCATCGTACGTGGTCAACCCGTGCCAACCGAAGTTGCCGGTGTTAAATGTCGTGTAAATTGTTTATGCCTAACATCATTGACGGCCCCTTATCAATTGACTCGTGGATGAAGTCCTCTCAAGCCGTGTCACACGTCCGTGGGGCTATTGTGACCATACTTCACACCACTTGGCTCCGTACGGGTGGCAAATCGCCCACCCACTCAATGCCAACTCGGGGGGCCCCAGTTCCGCGGGGCGCAAAGGCAGCAACGCGAACCACCGCATCACCACTCCAGCACCTCGTCCACGTAGCGCTTTCATTACATCCACGATGTCGTGGAGCTGCACAAACAATCGGTAACATCGAAGGAGGAGCGTAGCAGCGAAATGCGCCCGTGTGCGTGTGTCGCCGCACTGTAAAGCCCCCACTGGGTACAGTCGAGCGGCAAGGCCGCACGCAACAAAAGGCGGACAGACACCACGGGCGCCACACACATCCCCCTCAAAAACACCGCACACGGCACCGACTCGCTCGCTCACAACACCGTACGGAGAGCCACACACACACCCCCCGGCGGACGTCCGCAAGCAAACGACGCGAACGGCGGGCGGAAGAAGCAGGGCAACGCATCGGCCCCCGTGCCTCTGGTATCGGCGGCGGCAGCGGCCTGCAAGCACCTCGCGTTTAGCCCCCCACGCCGACGCCGCCGCCGAAACATCGGAGGAAGGAGCAACTTAAGCCGCCTCCGCCTTCGTACAAACATCAACGCGTGCGCACATAAGGCAAAGGAGTAGGGTGGTGGGGGGTGCTTACCGAGGACATTCTCGCCGGAGAGATGCCTGCAGCTCTCCTCGCTCTCGGTGCCGCGCGGACTGAGAGAGAGAGGGGGGGGAGAGGTGCGAGGGGGGGGCAAGGGGGCGTGTCGGGGCGTGTTGTGGGCGGGGCTACGCCGTTCGTCCCGCCCTCGACCAACGGTCGCGCTTTTTACGAACCAGCCAATCGGCGAGCGGCTGACGCGCCGGCCGCGCTCTTTGATTGGGTGGCGGTTGGGCCCCTCCCCCTCCCCCCTCGTAAGGCGTGGCCGCGAGATTCAAATGATTCAGCCGCTTCGGTTTGGGAGGGGGATGGGGGGTCGTGAGGGGAGGGGCTTTTGGGGGCAGTGTTCGATGCATTGATCTGCTATACTATTACTATTATGCAACTAATTCTAATTCTTATGCCCTTTTCAAAAACCGATCAGAATACACTTTTTTTAGTTTCAGTCTCATCAGGCCCCATGGTGTTAAGTACTCTCTCCAACCCGCATTGACCGTAAAAGTTGCAGATTATCTATATTTCATTTAAGGCCACTTTGTTGTTGATGGATGTGTTAAGGTTATTTCCTTATTAGAACAAATATTTAATAATACCCGTCAATTTATTTTGCTAAATAAGGGCGAATTACTCGATAGCCCACTCATTTGAAATGGCTATTGCACCACTGTTATTGGCCACATAAAGATATTGGAACCGCAAACGTTATTGTTACCTAAGGAGTTACCGAAGAGTGAAATGTCTTACATGTTTCCATGGAAACAATTAATAGCTAACTATTGATACACCAACTTGAAACTGTTCATGAGTAAACGTTTTGTTATGTATTTATCTCTCCAACCCTGATTAACTCAGTCTCTCTGCCCTCCTCCATGTGCTAAGAAGAAGGGCCATTTCCTGAAACGTCGCCAATTGTGTATTTTTCCTGTTTCATGGAAGTATAATTTGTGAAGTGTACCAAACAGGAATTTACAAACAATACATCTGTGCTCTTATTCTAAGTAAACATCTCTGGATATACTGTACATGTGTCAGAAAATGGCAAAAGCCATCATCTCTTGAACACGACTAAGATATTGCATGTTGCTGTTACCGGGTACCCGAAAGACCATGTGCTGTCTCTATATATAAACACGAGATGTAAAAGTTGGAAAAAATAAGAATGTTTAAAATGTGCTTGTGACACGAAATGGGGCCAATTCCACCACAAATAGATGGATAAAAAAGCCTAAGTACGGATGTCACGCATAAATATACAGTAGATAGAGTTTTACATTCCAGTGAATTTTGAATTTCATTGTTATAACAAAATTGGGTGACACGACAATTTGGTGATCCTGTACTTTTGCAGTGGTGCAAAGGCACAATTCACAATAAAGTCAACATTATTTTGTGAACAACCCTGTGGCCTTAATCGTAAACAATAGGTGATGATGTTTTGGGCATTATCCTCGTTCATAACATAAAAATGGTGATACGTTAGTGTTTTTAATTACATTGTTCTAAAATCAGGTTAGATATAAGTAGGGGACCAGTGTTAATTTTGTCACACTGTATCTCAAATACATTTAGCTTTGATTTAAATAAAGTATTGAGTAAACACCATTGGACTAAATAATTAACAGTACTGTATAATATTTTTCGATTTAAAGCTTTCGTGACTGCAGGGATTCATATTCTTGGATCTTTCGGTAAAGTCACGTTGAAGGGAAATAAAAAAGTAAAAAAACAATAAAATTCTCACGACGTTTCGGCCACAATACAAGCAGCCGTCCTCAGGTGAAGAACAGAGCTGTCGGAAAGACAGCGTCCTAATGAACACTGCTAAGCTTGGCAGCGTATTTTAAGCTGGGTGGGAGGAGCAAAGCGCCTTGAAAAGGTAGTTTACATATCAACAGAGGAATTTTCATTACTTACGTTAAAGAACTGCTTCTACCCTACTGCCATACAATAAACCGATGTGAAAAAACTAGGTATAAACTACATCAATATAATCAATGTACTCAATATACTCTCCAATAAGCTGAGTTATTAACATCAAGTAACTGCGTATAGACTACACTATATAATGACTACCATATAGTGAACCGATTAAAAACTAAAATATAAACTACATCAATATACTATGAGACCTCCTTTGCCAGTAGCAAGATGTAGTAATGGGTTTTTACCCTTTTATCTGGCACAAAAACTGACACCTTTATGCAAGGGATCATGTTTGCAATAACCACAACGCAAGCAGTCAAAATGCCAACAAATAAGATGCAACTTTGATAATGATATGCACTGTCCTTGAAATGGATTGGTCCACACCCGAGACGGCTTTCCTTAGAGCCTCGTCTCCACTGGTGTTGGACCAGATGACGCCAAAAGGCGTACTGGTCCAATTTCAAAGACAGCGCATATCATTATCAGAGTTGTATCTTTTTTGTTTGCATTTTGACTGCTTGTGTTGTGATTATTCCAAACATGATCCCTTGCATAAAGGTGTCAGTTTTTGTGCCAGATAAAAGGGTAAAAACCTATTACTACATCAATATAATCAATGTACTCTCAAATAAGCTGAGCTGAGAGTATATTGAGTACATTGATTATATTGATGTAGTTTATACTTAGCTTTTTCACATCGGTTTATTGTATGGTAGTAGGGGAGATGCAGTTCTTTCGCGTCAATATGCTAAATTCCTCTGTTGATATGTAAACTCAGCTGATGTCGACAGCATGAGAAGGCCTTAACCCAGCATGGGATTAACAGTGGCTCATGATGATGATAATGACAGTGAGAGAGACCATTTATTTTAAAAGTGTTATCCCAGGATTTGTGGATTAGAGATTGAAATTTGGACACCCTTTGGGTGGCATATTGTTCTCGAAAAACAAACTTGTCTTTCAGTTTATAATGCTTTTTTGTTATGGAATTACACTACTCAGCAGCTGTAGAATCATCGTTGCATTTGCACTTTGCGCTGTTGAATCAACATAGTTATAATCCCCAAACTAAATTTCAGTGAGTCTGTAACGCAACTCTCGGGAATCTACAGCTGACGGGAAGATTTTGGAATCGCAGTAACTGGTTTCAAGGCTAATAGGATGACCAAACCGAGTTCTGCTCTGTGTGTACTGTAAATGGTATTATGACCACGAACAGTCTACGTTTGCCGCTTTCACAATTGTTTTTACTGACAAACAATCCAAGTGCATTTTTTACTGAAGACACTGATTCTAGACTTGCCATGACATTTTAAGATTTATAACACTTGCAGAAAGACTAAGGGTGGTGGGAAGCACATAGTGGAGAAATTCAGTGAGGCCATAAAGTTAGTAGCAATAGTAAAATTCACAAACATTTGAAAATATCAGCAGCCATGATCAATCCACTGCTGGATGAAGGCCTCATCATGCTGACACCATCCCACACGGTCACATAATGTCATAATCCGTTTCACTCCTGCTCATGAGCTGATTCCATTGTTCCATTTCCGTGGTAGGTGACCTTTCTGGTGTGTTTTATTATTTTGCTGCCATTCAGTTGTCAGTTTCAGCCGTCATATATACCTGTGGTGTCCTCCCCAAGGCCTCGTATTTTCCATGACAATAAATGATGTCTCGAATTTATGTTTGTTCTCTGATTCACGTGTTATTTTTTTATGTCTCACTCAAGTATGTATCACAAACTTTTCAGATTGTGTTCCATTTTCTTTTTCAATGTTCATCTTTCTGATCCATATGTCATAGCAGACAATATTCACCGATTTAAAACGTTATTCTTTAGGCACAGAAGTACGTTTCTTTTCATCACTAAATTAAGTTTTTTTAAAGAGAATCTGTCTTATGGCAGACACAATGCTGAATGCCACTCCACAGAAGTCGAATGCTCTCAGCCGTCCATCCAGTCGGGTCAGAGGGAAATCCTCCACAATATGTTAGTGTACACATGTCTGCACATACAGTTTAGAATACCATGGATGTCCCATCTGGCCTCATAGCTAAGTTCAATAGAATCCGTACATACCATAGTTGCAGGTCGAAACTTGGTTGACTGGTGGTTATCTTGTCTTATTGTAATCTAGCGCCTTAAGCACGGCGCTAAAAGATGAAGTAGCTATTTGTACAGCAGGATAGTGTGATGAGACGAGTTGATGGTCGTATATGAATATGATGATGATGCGTGAACTACACAATGATGATAGTGACAATGAATGATTAATGATGAGTGAGTGATGTATCGGGATGGAAGTTGAGAAAGAGGATGGTATTAATGATGGGGAAGAGAGGGGTGAAGGGGGGTTTGGGTAAGTGAGTTTTAGAAAATAAGTGAGTTTTAAAGGAAGAACGAAAAATAGACAGTAAGGCTGAGTGAGTATTTGATGTAGTGAGGTTGTTTGTTCCAGTATAAGGGGACCAGAAGCGAGAAAGAACAGAATCATGATTCGGCACAACTGGAGGGGGAACAGACAGAAACAGCTGGAATTGTGAACGAAGAAGGCAAGAAGGCGTGTAGAACGACATGAAAGAAGCAAGATACGTAGGAACCAGACCACATAAGGTTGGTGGTGTCATTGGCGATAAAATGGTTTGTTGCTGCTGACAAGACCCATTCTCCCAACACCACGACTCTGAGAAGTTGCAGGGTTTAAACTCAGACCACAGTGGGTGTCGTAATGATGTAAGCTGAGCAAGGGCCAATGTTGAAAAAATCAGAATGCAACAGCAAGTTCAGTGCGTATATTGCAGCTTTGCTATAAGATTGACTGCGTCTTCCTCATGCTGGATGTGTGGAGGAGGAATATTGGGAAATACTGGGAGCTACTGAATAGACGTGGATCCAGTGATGGACTGGGACGAGAAATCGGCCCAGGCATTTGTAAACACACCAGCTCAAATTCGGGTTATGGGCATTTAAAAAAATAGGTTGTGTGACAAACTGTATAAAAGCTACATTTGCGATGTGACTATTAGCGTGATTTAATAATAGGACCACCAAGCACACTCTGAAAGTGACTTTCTGCGACAACACTGTGCGACACGACCCCACTCCAACCAATCTCTCAGTGAAGCTGGACCGTACGCTCAGCTTCCAATCCCAGCTTAAAAAG